AAAAATGTTGAAAATCTGCTACTGCCGTTCACAAACAACTTACCTATTCTTCTTACCCATTTGCACCACCAATTATTGTCATAATAATACCTAGACCAATAATCAGGATGATGCGTACTACTAATGAGGACTCACCGATTTCTTGCTGTTAAAATTATTTAAATAATATTAAAAGTTCATATTTTTCTTGTAAATATACATATTTTACTCTGTTCTTTAGGCTACGGCCGGTTTTCTTATAAAATAAAATAAATAACACTATATTCTGATTCAAGTATGTAAAAAATATGCAAATTTAATCTTATACAGTTATACAGGTAGGTACTAGGTACTTATCTATATTATGTATAGTTAGTAATTACCGCTTCAGGTTTCTATTAAGTTTTTATTGTGCGTTTTTTTGACAACTTATAATGCAATCATAACTTAGAAAATGGAAAGACTATCAACATGTTCCACTAGAACAATTTTTTTTTTTATTTTTTCAAGTAATCTATCTGTTGTTTTGGAATTCATTTCATTATCCTAACCACCCACCCCACCGGTCCACACAACTTAGAATCTCTGGGTACGTCATGTCTTGAATTGCGTGCAAACTATTATATTATTAGTATGCACCGCGTAACCGGCGAATTGAATAATATTAGGACGCGAACAGAAGACAAGACACACTGCACACACACACACACACACACACACACACACTGCACATTTGTAAATAAAATGTCGCCTCGCCGCTATGGAAGCAGAATTTTATCGCCTGTCCGCGTCTACCGTGCAACACTTCGGAGCCACGGCAATGACTCATTTATCCGGCGGGAGTATAATAATAATATAACGTGCAGCATATAATAGACACGGCGGAGGAACGAACCGGTCCTAAATACTTAATCGGGTAGGGCACAGTCGCCATAAATAATTCACCGTGTAAATTACCATGACCGTACGAGCACCATAGGCGAGTGTATATATATATGCTATATAATGAATATAGTGGTTACATGGATTTTGGCGATCGAAAACACTGCAGCGTTTATTTTTATCGTGTTATACGCGTATATCCACCGTGACCGCTCGCGCATCGGCGTTGAGATTTTCCCAAATTTTCCGTCGTCGTCTGCTTGGCATTAATAATATAATATAACGAGGGGTACGACCGAGTTCAATGTTTCAGGGTGACCATGAGAAAATGTTCCGATGCTTGCACTGATTCGTGTGTATTTGTTCAAATGTCACGGTACGATGTAATTTAAATAAGTACCTACACTTAATAATGCACGGGTTCAGCCTCGTCGTCGAAATTCAGAGTAAAACTATATTATGTGGTCTTTGCAATAAAATCTGGTGATATAAAATTCTAACAGAACCAATTTAGTATTGTGCTGTATTATGACAATTACAACTTTTTGATTTGGAAGTCCGACTATCTGTTGAATAAGAAATATATTATTCGTTTTAATTCCTACTTACACGTGCAATGGTGTTACTACAAGTTGCAACACACAAAACTGCTCACAATTTTTTTTCCCTGAGAAGTATGTCTAATATAATTCTTTATAAATAACTACGCATATCCTTTATGTTATAGGATTTATAACGTCACATAGAACCCATCGAATTGAGTCATTATTTTAGGTAGGCACACATAATAAGTACCTATTATATAGACAATATGTCACATTCATTATACACATAAAACTGACTTCCTTGCAAATCCATGAGTGCTCTGTTCCACTACAACCGTTGTCTAATGTGCGAACCATGATAAGTAATTATCTGGTGATTTACATTTGAAATTATTCAAATAAAATGTTTTATATACATTTATAAGTGATAACTGATAACCATAAGTACCTACTGTAGGGGGTCTTGTAAACATAGGCGCAATTAGGGGGGATTAGCCCCCCTCCACCAGTTTTTTAAACATATTTTATGCTAGTAAACTAAAATTGTATACCATATGCGTGACTATACGTTTCACAACTAAATAACGTACATTATATATCCGAACTCCAAAGTACTATCGCTTTAATGTTCAGTTTAATTTACTGAAAATCACATATTAATATTAGTGAGGTTCATTTTCTCTTATTTGTAATTTTTTTTTGTGTAAAAATGTACAAATATATTTTTATTAGGTACTACATATTATATTTAAAGAATAAATAAAATTAGCTATGAAATGTAGCACCTATTATATAGTCATGATGATAAATTATTCATCTACTTCAAAAGTTTGATTTTAATGAAAGGAAACACTTGAAGAGAAAATAAATAATATATCATGTTCTATAGGGAATGTATGATAAGTATCATGGGTGTCGTGATAATATACTCATACGTAAATTAATGGGGTTTAGAGGATAAAATTAATAAACTATTGCTGCAAGTTTATAAATATAGATCTTCAAGTGTAGAAAAAATAATAAAATAAAAACGTAAACTCGTAGAACAAAGGTATGTTTGAACAAAATGACGATATGCTAGTACGTCATTTATCATACTAGCTATATAGGTGTAATGGTCTTATAAGACTAAGCATATGAAAATCACTAAATCATAAGCCACAGAGGCTTACAGCATTCAGATCCCAAGTGTTCATACGAGAAAAAAATCGCTTGGGATATAAATAGATACTTATTCTAATACTTGTGACGTAAATAAGATAGGGCATTTAGTATTTACTATAGTTAGCTAGTAAATGGTAATAGATGGTGTAAGAATACAACTGACTTATAATTTTATAAATTTAGTTATATAACAAACCTAGCTGCATCCTCGTTGGTAAGTATAAACTATATATGTATGTGACGTGGAGGTCGGTGACATAGACGTAACTAAGGACATTTTTCTGGGCGGGGAGTGGGCTAAAATTGTATCAGCAGTACAAACCCTAATAATTAATATTTTAAACTAAAATATGATTAAAAACTGGTGGTTGTTAGCCTCCATTCATAATTGCGCCTATGGTGTAGTGTAATTTTATCTTAGTTATCGTTTTACCTACATAGATTCAGGGGTTATAAGTCAGGCCAGGGTCGTAAGTTCATGTACTAAAAAATACATAAATTAGTATGCATTCAGGCACTAAACATTAGAAAATAATGCACAAAAAAAATTACAAATATCCATTTATAGGCACTAACATTTTTAATTTATGCACTCAAAATATGCATAATTTAAAAAACATTTACAGATCAACACTAGGTTGTAGGTTGAAAAAAAACGTGCACCAAATTCCGATACAAAATGTTTCAAACGGCTGGCAACCATTTGTTTTTCTTTCGGCAATGTTTAAGGTGAAATATGAATAATTTTGTTTATTGTACCTATATATGGTATACCTAATACAAACACATGAAATCGAACGGACGGCCAACATACGAGTTAAGAGATCGCTACAGCCGCATGTGTTGTCTCCATCTTACAGATTTAAAACTGGGGGCTATCGGCAATACAAAGTTAGAAAATGTATGTAAAGAAAGTATAAATCTATAGTTAAAATAAATAGAAAAGAAAATGTTGAAAAATAATTTTGTTACACAAGTGTATTAAGAGAAAAATGTTTGTGTAGAAAATTCAAAATATAAAATAATACACTCATTGTGATGGAACATTTTTAAATGAAATAATATTAAATGTTAAATGTAAATTATCAGAAAAGTATTACGTTAGAATATATATTAAAATCAAAACCGGAAAAGTATTTTGTATAAATCGTAATTAATTAGAAAATATAATTACTGAAACAAATTTTAGATTAAATATTGTTTATTAAAAAATATGATTGCCAATAAATACTTAAACTTAAATATTTTATGTTCAAAAGTAAAATTTCTAAAAAATATTTAAGCTTGTATAGATTTTCTGATAAACTTTTATTTAGACTTAACTTTAAACAGAAAATAGTTCGTTCGAAAATAGTTTAAGAGAAGGGTATTTTGTTAGAAAAACTAATTATACATAGGATTTAAGAATGACATTACGTACAAAAACAGGGTGGGCTATGCCTACCCAAGTCCCCCCCCCCCTTAGTTGAGCCTATGGTCATTGAATATACTAATCATAACATTGAGGCATATTGAGGTGATTTTTTTTAAACAAATTACATAATATTCGTTCCCCCGTTCGATTAGTTACAATCGATTTTGGTCAATAATATAATATAGTGCACCACTTTTTAACGAGGACGTTTCGTTCAGTCTATTTCGACCTCCCCCCACATACCATCCGTTTTTAATCACTGATAATGAGTCCCACTCAACATGTTGATTTTATGATTTGTATAAAAAGTTATTTGAAGCACTTGGCAACATAAAAAAAAGGTTATCTTACTATAACATCTAAAACCATCATATATGTGTATTCTTTTTATACATACCTATTTTAAATCAGTTAAATAATACAATAAAACTGTAACTAATATAATATAATAAAATACAATTATTAATAATAATGAATAATATTAATAATGATTAAATCTTTAAATTATGCAAGTAACGGACTACTACCATTAGTTTGTTATGCATCTATATTTTGTTTTTGCGGTAGTCTGGTAGTCAAGTTGTAATTTTTTTTTTAAGAATTTCAAAAGAGTAAGTTACTTTGTTTAAATATATTCTACTATATTCAACTATTCTGAATGTTTCAGACTTATATTTGACCCCGAATAGTTGGAAAAATCACCAGTGATCGTGTTATATGATAGAGAAGGCGAATTATTACGTATATTTGTTATTTACAAATTGTTTAACCATAATTTAAATACATCGTTAATTTCACGGGTTTTTTTTAGTATATTTAATATTGTCTGATGTGTATGTACATTGTTTTACCTTATGTTTCCAATTATAACGCCGAATAACCTTTATTAGATATTGTACTAAGGGTTCGACAGACATCAGTCAAAAATATGTCCGCATTTTTTTAGCAGCTTAGATGTGCACATTAAAGTTCATTAATTTTTTTTAACATTTTTATTTTATAGAAGTTACAGAACTATGCGGGGATTGTCTTCGGCGATTGACGATACCGGCGGAGGCTGTGGCAGTGATGTTGACCAGTTTCAAGGAGATGAAGCAGAAGACCGCTTTGAACCTTCGCTGTTCGCCGAATATTCCCCGCCTCCTCTGCCCAACGATGTGCACACGGCTTTCTTGGCCGCCAACTTGTTGCTTCTCTACCTGAACCTGGCTAGGCTGTCGACTATGTCAATTGGCGACGCACATCAGCTACCGGTTACCGTCAACGACCATGACGACAACGACAACGACAACGACGATAACAAGTGAGTTTTTTTGTCAAACCTCACAATATATATAGGTATAAAAATACAGGATTGACGTTCAGACCGTTCTCGATAGGCGATAGTGTTATGGTAATATTTTTATTTATTATACATCAATGACCGGTCTTCGTCTGTTCGTTCATTCAAAGAAACCTTAGAGGAATAGAGGATAAATGATTTACAGTTTATAAATCGGATTTAAAGTGCGATTTTCCATCACAAAAATCCCAGGAATAAAAAAAGCTAGGTAATATCTGAAAATATTAAAAAAAAAACCTCTTAAAAAACCAAATGTCATTAATATTCATCGTTAAAAAACTATAAAGTTCAAACCATCCATTTTATTTTGATATACACCATTATATCCCATTAATGAAGTAAAATCAATAAACAATTTTTATAATTTTATTTACGTGGTTATAGCCATTTTATAAGTACGTTAGAGAAAAAAAAATAGTAAATAGTAAACGGAGAGAACGTTTTATTTTTTCCAGTATCCCGTTTTTTTTGTTTTATTGATTTTCTGCCAGCATTACAACAACCAAAATCAAAATTTACTTATAAGGTTAGAGAACTCAAGTGTTTTTATTATAAATATCTTATTCTTATAATATATAAATATATAGATTAAAAAATCTTATATAATATACCGTGTCCTTAAGAGGAGGCGATACCCGCATGTGTTGTCCCCATCTTACAATTGCGTAACATAGCAAATTCTACGCAAAGCAGAACACGTGTAGCTCTTAAGTTAAGATTATTATCTAGACAACCTCATGGGCTTTTTATTATATTTTAATTTTTAAGCGAGCTATGAGTAATTTAAAATTGTAAATTGTTTATAGATCTTAAAGTACTCATAACTAGCTTAAAAATTAAAATTTTATAAAAAGCCCATGAGGGTGTCTAGATAATAATCTTACCTTTAGATTTTATAAGAGGTTAATTTACTCTAATTTTTATATTAACGGAGCTACACGTGTTTTGCTGAGGGTACAATTTGCTATGTTATGCACTTGTAAGACGGAGACAACACATGCGGGTATCACGTCCTCTTAAAACGTCAGCCCACTTACTTATAGTAGTTTTTTCTCTCTCTCTCTCTCCGACTCCCCTCTCACTTACTCGCAACGTAGTAAAATGTGCTTTCAGCAGAACCAATTTAGTATTGATAACTTTATTGTTATAAAAATTGACCATAATACCTAAAGGTAAGAATATTATCTAAGGCATTTATTTGGATTTTATTGGTATTTTAATTTATACACGAGTACTATACAATTGTATTATATTACATTACCTATTATAACTCACTTTCAAATTAAAAAATCAATAAAAACCTATGAAATTCCCAAGATAATATTCTCATATTTATGTTTTGATAATAGCTCAAAAAAAGCTTAATAAGTTTGGTTCATTTGATTCTATTATATTATTAAAGTTAACAACACGAATTTGAATCTGTTGAACTTAAATTTGCAGTATTGTGCGTGAGTCAGCAATATAGTACAAACAGACAAACAGTGAGCTGTCGCGCTGACATCTTCTTAAACAATTTAATTATTTAAATTTGATTTAGATATCTGAATAGTACTTGAATCCTGTAATATCTGTGTATAATGTGCTATTGTGCTGTGAATAATAGTTCAGTTGTTCCAAGTTTCCAACTAATCGCTATTCGCAGGCTTCTCTAACAGCGACGTTATTTCATTTTTTGTTTATACGCAAACCCTGTCTAGAATTTATCCATTTTTCAGAACAATCAATTTAAGAAGTGGGCCAAATTACATTAAAATATTGGATAAAAGTGAATGTATATACCTTGCGCAGTCCAAATGACACCACCGTTCGCAAAATATGTTTATTAATGAACTAGTTTAGAAAAATTAATTTATTATTTATTATTTCAGTGATTTAATAAAAACATAAAAATATATATTTATATTTTCACTTAGTGAAGTCGATGTATACAATTCGTTATAAAATACTATAAATTACAATCAAAAGAATTTGTATGTAATTACATTAGTATATTTTCTAGTTCACTGTAATTGTAATATAATTCAGTCTGGGTCACCTAAATCGAATTCAATAGCATTACCTATATTTCTATTCATTTTTTTTTTACAAAATTCGTGATATAGTGTGTTATCAATTACCTGTTTATGAACTACTACTTCGTCAGGATGCATGACCAGCGTGACATGGTCATCAAGTAATGCTATATAGCCACGTGTTTCGATGGAATGAATACTACCTAAAACGTGCAGAACTGCAGACCCAATTCAAAACATTATAATTTATTGTGTATAATATAAGTAGTACCTACTTATAGCTTATGTTTCATATAATATGTGATTCGTTTCTATCCAAGTACAATATAATAATACATTATTATATATAGGTAATTCACTCATTTGTTACCGTCCAATTTAACTTAAATATTTCTTTATAATTTATATTCAAGACTACTAATTCTATTTACTGATTTTACATATCTAATACCTATACACACTCTTTACAATTATCTTTTTTTATGGAAGAACTAGTAAATTGTATAATTTTAATAAATTCAATTTTTCACACTCATACATGGATTTATAATATAATTTTCTATATAAGTAATTTGCATAAAATAATAATCGTTTTTTTAACTTTAACGAAAAATTGATCCATTATTTGAAAATGAAATATTTTCATTTTTACAAAATGTATATTTTAAGTTTGACCTTAAAAATTCGAATTCAAATGCAATTTAATTATCTAAATGTGTAAGTGTAGTGGTTTGCTGACTATAGATTATGGCTGTACAATTCGTAAAAGTGTTGCTTCCCGCTCACATACATAATCCGATTAATGTCATTTCATTGAGGATTTTAATTTTATAGTTGTTTATTTATATGGCATTAATCTATATTCTATACAGTTACCGGATATCATGGATATCTTGGTACGTAATGGAAGGTATTCATTCCGGATGTGTCACCCACTGTAGTTGTACCTACACCTGAGATCGCATATTGATATTTATTAGGTTTCATAATATTTTTCAACTCGTAACTTTAGACAAAAATGACATCAATGTTACACAAGGGATTCCTATTTCCTTGAGAGAATACTAACATAATATTAATTAATTAATTTCATTGTCTTAACTAGTGGTTGTGTATAGGTACTTTGACGTTTGTAAAACGATACAGAAAAAAAATCATAATTTTCTTAAACGTATCGTGCAAACTATTAACGCGTTGTGTTAATAAAATTGACGATTCATAATATGAATACACTATACAGTCTACCGATAATAATAAATTTAAGTTCTATATGGAGTATCTCCTACAAGTTTTTCTTTATCATTCGGTCCTAACATGTGGCGTGTATTGTATTATTTTAAGTAAGCGATAGTTATAATAATATGTACAGTATAGGAACACACATAATGAATTTCATATGTTTTATTTTAACAGTATATTTTAGCAAAAAGGATTATTCATGCATTTTGAGGGGACTAAGTAATCGGAAACAAGATTTTATTTGAAATTCGAAAGATAAAATATAAATTGGTTAGACCATTAATCAATAGTCTTAATATTAATATAAAATTAGGTAGATGTATGCTTATTAGTTATTACTTACCAATAGAATATATAAATATACTGTTGTCGAAATACACTTTTGAAAAATATATATTTGAACGTCAGAATTACGGAAGTACTTAGCCTTGAAACTATCACACATGGAAATCATTTCAAGTTTAGTTAAAATATTGACACAAACAAAAATACTTTTATCACTATATAGTCCACAACTGTGAGCCATTGTTATAGGATATAAAAAATATTTATTTTTTATGACACATTGAACTATGTGTCGGCAATCTTAAAAAATAAATTATTCAGACGTACGTCATAATATCAATAACTTGTTTAATTATATTGAATTATTGACTAGCTATGGTATAAAACTGAAGATTATCTAAGCCACATATTATAATTTAATTTAAACGGCAGTTTCAATATTACTCTAGCATTAAATATAGTATAAGCGATCAAAATAATAAAACTATTTATACATATTTTATAATTTAATAAAATAATAAAATAGGTAATTAATACCTACTTATATCAAATACTTAAAAATATTTTTCATGTTCAATATTGTATCTAATATGGTATAGCATAGGTAAACGACTCAAAGATATTTAATAGCATACGTTTTTGCCATAACATTTTTAATTACCTACTTACTCGAAAAATATAGTTGAACTATGAAATGAAATTAAAATAAAGGACTGTGAGCGGAAACCGGTAGTTATTAAGGTTAGCCAATAATAGGCCTTTTCTATTTCATTACTCTTTGCCAATTTGAGGTAATTAATTATGGGAGTGATTGTGATTACTAATATTCGAATTAGCTTTAAACACTAATAAGAAATAATACCTGTTGTATTCCACACTCGCTCTGTAAGTATAACCGAAGAGCATCGAGGACATAATAGTGGTAATACCTGACATAGAGTAAAATATACTTGTGTAGTTCCTACCGCGTCTATAGCGTCAACTACTTGTCCAGACATAGATTTTAACTTAAAACTTTTCTGGCGGGGGAGGTCCTAAAAATAATATATATTTCAAAGGTGCTTACTTATTATTTTTATTTTTATAAACGTATAGTTGTTGAAAAATTAAAATAAATATTGAACTGCGGATAGAGGATTTGTTTGTTTGTTTATTTTTGTAATATTGGTTTATATACATTATAATATTATATTTATATCATTGCAACTATTATAACTATAAGTATTGCTTGAGCTTAGACAAATATTGAGACAAGCGATTCATTTTTGAAGAAAATATCTATACTTGAATACGGGGCAGTTAATTTTCATTTTTATGTCCAATACTAAAAAAAATTGATTTTACACGGTTTGTAGGTAGTTTAAAATGTAAATTTGTTGAACTGACCTACACATATTTATACTTACTGATGAATAAAATATGTATCCCACTCACAATATTGTTGCCAATGTTAATATACTCTATTATAATATGTTAAATGATTAAATTGCTTATAAACCAACGCATATTTTTGACTAGGCGTCAAGCGTCCCTGAAAATACCATTTTAGTAGGTAGGTTACAAAATTTCATAAATGTTTTTTATTATTAAAATATATGTAGATGTTTAAATTGTATATGAATATGTTTGGTGTTATGCAGAGTATAATATGTTATAATATTATAATTTGGTCAGTGTAAAATAATTGTGTGTTATGAGAATCGTTCAATAAATTATAATGCATACATAGTGAATTCTAAACAGTGATAATAATTAATTTAACACAATAGAATATTTAAACATTAACCTTTAACAAATAAAATGCCAATGAAATACCTACGAATAATAACTATAATGATTTGATTCGTTTTGAGCTGTTACGAGACGTTTTCAATTTTAAATTTTTGTAGTTTTTTTTTTCTATAAATATCAATAAAATTTTATTTGTTGGGTAAAAACTTTGAAAATTTAATACAAGGCTCCTCGCTCCTGATATATTGTTACTATAGCAGTTAGGAAATAATAAAATACATAGGCACATATGTTTTTTATTAAACTTTAAAGTTAAATATTTGACAAAATTGATCAAATTTAAAATTATAATATGATTTTGTAGTTAACAATTTATGAAATGTTCAAATTTTATAGCCAAGGATTGAAAACTTAAAACAAGATTCCAAGTAAATAAGTCAATAAATTACTTTATTCACAATAATATCATTAAATATACTTAGTAATATATCATAGACTGACTGACCGTATTCGCTCAGAATCGTTTTTTGTATGCAATGATATTAAATCTGTACAGTAGAGCGATACCCACTTGCCCACCTTTTTTACCTTTAGATGTGTTTATAACTACATATAATATTGAAGGTACTACTATGGAAAACTGTATTTGTTTTATAATATTTTTACTTATTAGACTATACCTACAATATATGTGTTAACAATCATACCTGTCATTACTATAAGTAAGGATATTTAACAATTTTATATCGACTAAAATGTATAGGTACATTAATTGTATAATATACAATAAAAGGAACTTGAATTATTTTTTAAATCGATTCTGAGTTTATTTTTGTTCATATCAGAAATTATTATATACTATATTTTACTATTATGAATTGGTTCCAAAAAAAAACCTACAGGTGCAGTTTTTTGGACAGCGCAAAAGCATTCGACCGTGTTTTGCACGACGGTAGTTTCTATAAACTAAAATACTCAAACGTACCACAATATATATTTTAATATATGTAAAATACATATATTAAAATCCTTTCTCACTGACAGATGTTTTGTTGGAATAAACGAAACGCAATCATATTGCAGACCTATTTAAACTGGAGTTCTTCATGGATACAAACTAGGCTCTATTTTATTTTATTTTTATATTTTCGACATTCCACAAACTACGAACTCAAATATCGCCCTATTTTCTGACGATATACTATCATCTACTTTGAAGCTTCGGATACTCATGTAATAACAACTGTAGTCCAAAAACATCTTAAAACAATTTCATTTCTCTATGCTGCAAAAAATGAAGAATACTCATAAACCCAACAAAAAGCCAAGCAGTACTTTTTTCCCTACCTAGATCACAATCACCTCAACCAGTTAAATTTTACTACGTGCCAATAGCATGGAAATCGTCGGTAAAATACTTAGGCGTTATTCTTGATAAGAAAACTCAATTAGTGGCCTCACTAGCTATCGGCTAAACTCCAGCAAGCATACCAACATTTAGGAGTTCTGTTCCCAATATAATAAAAAGAAAATTAACCATAAGTAAAAAATGCTCACTTATGAATTATGATATATAATCAAGTCTTCAAACTTTAATCTTATACGCATGCCCAATATGGGGCAGTTGTGCCAAAAGTAATTTAAATAAAATACAAATATAATAACATGCAGATGCTCCCAACTCATAAACTCAATAACAATCATCCACTTTTAAACTGAAACGGAGCCACTTACTACAACTTAAATGTAAGTACTCCAAAACCTCACCGACTCAAGAGAGGAATACCTCACGACCGCAGAGAGCGACATCTATTACCGGTCACTGCCTAAGAACTAAGAAGGTTACAACATGTCTAGATAATTATTAAACCTATTAGATCAGTATAGGCTCATAGAAACTAGAAAGCTACCTAATAACTTTAAATGCTTATAAATGATGAAGTGACTAAGGATTATTAATATTTTTTAAATGTTATTGTAACAATATAGTAATATTTTGTGGAAAACTGATTTTAAGTAAAAATGCCCTCTTTTCCTTGATTTTTATGTTGTTTTTCCCGGCGCTTTTGAAAACTATTGGGAATTTTAAATTTTGACCTCCCTAATGCCTCAACAATATTCACTTTCCCATCGAACAAGATACTGACATTGAAAATCGATGCATTATTTCAACTACTTATCCTGTACACAGACACAAAAATAAAAAAAATTAAAACACACATCATTGTAAAGCAAATACATTCATCTTTCCACTGAGTATCTAAAATAGCTAATGGCCTAAGTTGCCGGGATCAAGCTCAATAATAAAAAAAAAAAATTGTATTTATTATTTTTATGAATATTGTACAGTCCGATAGTATAATTATGTACCTACGATTCAAATACTATATTTTAAGCCGTTTAAACAATTGTTTAATGTGAAATATGTAATCAAATAATCCACAAATATTATGTCACCAATGATCTATATACCTACGTATATTGCAAGTTTATCATCGACTATACCTATAATATGTTTAGTGTTTACTATACACATTACACGATTTAGCGTATGAGTGCATATAATATATTATGTTCCTACGTGTAATTTAATTTGATATTTGATGTTGTCAATATAAGAGTTATGAAATAAAAACATAAAAATATTGTAACAAAATAACATTCAATTCGTTTAATATCGAAGTATAATAAAAGATCATAATAATATATATATTTTTTTTATTAATCATAAAGCCCGGCAACTATGGCCATTAGTTGTTTGTTTTTTTTTTATTTTGGAGGGGAGGAAATTGTAGGATTGTAATACACGTGTGTTTTTGGTTTGGCAGATTTTTAAGTGGGCACCCGTAGGAATATGCCATGCCCAGGAGGGGGATGGCAACACTTCTCTCCGGACACGGTGACTTGCCCGAAGAAATAAGCCACCCGACGCCTTAATCCGCTCGGCCACTCCGTCCCCGATAATAATAATAAATTGTTACCTATGCAAATGTTTTATTTGAAAGAAATTAAATCATTTATTTTTACATTTATAATGTATAATAATCAGTTAGTTATAGCCCAGGCTAGATGAAGTCTTGAATCAGTAGCCTATCCGGTTATCCCATAATTTTTTTTAAAAATTTATATGAGATTTTGTTTATGAATTAGAAATATTTTAATGTAACACCCGCCTAGCTTTGTTTTTTTTTAATATTACACTATAATAGTACTAGAAGATGCAGCATTATATAATACATAATGAAACATACAACATGTTGTTTCATCGATATATTTTATGTTCCATGATATAATGCAACAATGGCTTAATAATAACCCTTAAAATTATGTTCATTAATCGTTTGATGCGGCATCGGCCACTGTTGCCCTCAGATATCGATATCACCCCCCACATCCCATATGGCTCGTAGTTATCCCGTGTTTTTGTTTAAGTATATAGAAATATTGTATATTACATAATAATCACTCGACCAGTAGTACAAACAACTTGTAATAATATTTGAAATGCATTTCCTTTGCAGTGGTACGTCAGTGGCGGCGGAGGCAGTGCGCGTTACTACCGAGGTGCACGGACGGCAGAACGGCGCTTGAGCGACGAACGGTTGCCCGGGGAACCGGGGCCGTCAACAGACGACGGGCGACCGTGGCCGGCGGAAGCGACAACCTCGGCGGCGCGGGTACCACTGCAGCGACACCACCGTCACTATCGCAGCGACAGTTGCCGGCCACAGCCATCGTCCACTGAGCCACAGCAGCAGCAGCAGCGACAGACTTACGCCGCCACCCCCGCACCCGCCATGATAACGGTGGCCGCGAGTGGTTCCAGGGCTTTGAGGCCCAAACCGCAGGCGCGCCGCGGCCTATCTTCGTCGATTCCGTTCCCGGTGGATGTGGTTGACAGGCTGCGGTCGCCGACGCCGTCGACCAACAGGCCCAGACAGTACGGTCGCAGGTGGAGCGTTCAAGACGCCATCGTCTCGGCGGTGTTGGCGCAGCGACAGGAGGCGCTCCAGTTACGGGCGACCGTCGCTGTCGCCGACGCCACCGTCGTCGAACCGAGTACCGATCAGCTGCAGGCGTCCGGCGCCGACCAGGAACCAGGGCAGGAACCGAGGCTCGTCTCGTCTCTCAGGTTAGTAAGCGCAATCGCTGTCTCAATTATTATATAATATTATTATTGTCGTTGTATATGTATAAATAGACATGTAAACTCCCTTACCGACCTATTCGGCGTTTTCAAGAGTATATTCGAGTATTGTCTCGTTTTCGTCTCGGCCAAAATCGCCCCAACTTATATGGTCAACTGAAGCGCTTGTTCGGAGTCGCCACACTCAGCTGATCGCATCATAAATAGGCCACAGGTGTAAAGTGACGTAGCCAGGAATTTTAAAAGGGGGTGAGGGACAAAAAAGACATTTAAAAAGACATTTCTATACAGTTACACCCATATCTAAAAATATTTATATAGCAACATGAACAAATCCATTGTTTTCAATGTAAGTTATACCTCTTTTTATGATTTTTAACTTATAATTTACTACGTTCTAACTTTTTTAAATAAAAATACATTTCTATAGATAACTTTGTCCACAATCCTCCATTTTGGTGACTCTCGATATTGATTATAAGTACACAACTAAACTGTAGAGCATTGTGTTTCTTGAACTGCGCTTATATTAATGTCCCCTGTTAGGTCTACGTCACGGTACAGGTGATCACTGTGTATAGTTAAGGAATAGAGATTTTTAGATGGAGTGAATCCATACGATATAGATGCGTGTAATTACTAATATGTGTAATACATGGTCAAAACTTTTTAAGACAGTGTTAGGTATAGTTATAACCAATACTACTGAATTAAAGAGATTAAATTAAGTTAGAGCGTTACAGAATCTCATTACGTAATAGAAAAAATAGGCATGTAAATCGATATATTTATTGAAAATAAAATAATGGAAATTACAATATTTTAGCACAATAATATTGAAATATAATATATAATGACTTATTTGTATATTGTACTATTTACGACTTTGATAACATTTAAATTGGTCGATTTGTATTGTGTCTGTTATATGTATAATTCTGATAAAATAATATATCTATACCCACGTTTGAGCGTCCAATTTATGATACGCGTACCTACGCATATTGATATACTTATTTTATAATTCGTCATGCCTTTAAAGATAATATGCTACAATGAAAAAAGTATAAAAAAACTAATTTAATTCGTATTTCAAAAAAAAAAAGTGCTGTGCTGTACAGTAGGTTACAAGGGGGTTACTGTATAATGGATGGTATTAAATTTGAATTCAATGATATATCATTGTATAAGAAAAACGATTCTGAGCGTAGACGGCATGTCAGTCTTGGTATAAGACAAATTATATACTTATCTATGGTATTAAAAAAATTGACCTATAATAAGTACCTATAATAAATTCCAAATTAATCATATCACAATATCCATTATAGGTACTTATAACGAGTTATACATCAACAAAAAACCCTGATACTATCATAGATATAGTGTACTTTAGAAGTTTCAAGTACCCACGAATGATGTTATACAATCACAACAAAATAACTAAAATAGTTATTCTTGGTTTTTTTTATGTAATTTCGTCCAAAGTTTAACTTAAAACGACTGTAAAAATAAACTGTGCTTATGTATTTTTTAGATTTTTTAACTGATATTGTAACAATATATCAGGAGCCTTGTATTAAATTTTACACTTTTTGGCCCAACAGATAAAACTTATTGATATTTATAGAAAAAAAAACTAAAAGCTGAAAAACAGTCAAAATATTTTCAAAATTGTATGGTGTATAGAAAATGCTAATATAAACATTCAGTGAAATTTTCATGTATCTAAAGTTATTCGTTTTTGAAATCGCTATATGAGAAATCGAGTGAATATCCAATGTTGAAAAAATTTGAATTTCAAACGCTCACAAAAATTTAATTTGACTTTCTTATAGACTTTTTTTTTGATAAAGGTAGATAATCTTATAAGGAATTTCATATTACATTATAAAAATTTTTACAAATTCTTAACTCAAAATAATTTATAGGTAATTTTCGTGATTTTTCCATATTTTGTCAATTTTTGAACTTTAAATGGTTATAAAAAAAAACTGTGACTAAGGATTTTTAATATTTTTATCTGCCTTTGAAAAAATATACTAGGAACCTTCTATTAAATTTTCAAGCTTTTTAACCAATAAATAAAATTTTATTGATAGTTTTAGAAAAAAAACTAAAAAAAAAATGGAAAATGAAAATGTCCCTTAACAGTTCAAAATAAATCAAAATATTTTGATAATGTTATCGTGTATAGAAAATGCAAATATAAACAACCAGTCAAAATGTCATGTATCTACGGTCGTTTGTTTTAATGTTACACCAAAAACCAAATTCGATTTTGTGAATAATCGATTTTGGGTAAAATATCCCGTTTTTCCTTAATTTTTCTTTTGTTTTTCCCGGCGCTTGTGAAATCTATTGAGAATTTGACAGCGCACCAACGATTTTCACTTTCCAATCGAACAAAATACTGAAGTTGAAAATCGAAGCATTATTTCGACTACTTATCGTACTACAAAATAAAAAAAAAACACATCCATTGTAAAATCAATACATTCATCGTTCCACTCAGAATCTAAAATAATACTTATACATAATGCACGTTAAGTTTTTTTTGTGTTAAACATACAATTTGTATAAGTGAGAAATTCACGAAATATTATACCTGCTAAAATAATAAAGATGTGTACCTACATTGTAGTATTGTACATGATAATATACATATTACATTTTACATGTTATGGCCTATTATAATAGGTAGTATTGGTACGTTACATATTTAGGTCACGATAATTCCACGTGCTCGTTTATATTTTACTAAACCGTTCTTTAGTTTGTAGAACGTTTTGTTGGGGACTTATGTTTACTGATATTGTTTAACTTTAATGTCAAGTATTGTTATTTCCATACTATTATACAATTGTTTTATAATAATTATTATGTGATGAGATTTATTGACTAAACATATGTAGTAAAATATGGACCTATAAAGACATATTATAAACTATAGTACCTACAGTTAATTTTAAATTTGAATTTAGGTACAATTTATATTATATGATTATAATAATGTATTGTATTAGTGAATTTGTAGGTAGCCAGGTAGGTACTTAAACAAATAACGTTTTATTCCGGAAAATCATAGATTCGCCACGGTTTCAACCATATATGTTATAAATTCATGACCGTATTAGATTTTTATCTATTATTTAACATATATTGGGGTTGCATGGTCAATTATCTATCATATTCTAACCAACAACTGCCAATACTTTGTATCGAATATTGATCACAATAAATGAGTGAATATTTGTATAAATGCAAATATCGCCATCACACCCAATGCCTTAAACATTAGAACGTACCTATATGGTGTTTCAATTGTATGTTTTAAAGACGGTTTTTGAACATCTTAGTTCTATTCAAATTAATATATTTTATACATTTTTATAGGCACCTACGGACTACGAGTCACGTCATAATAAAAATGTGAACAACTAACTTGTCTAAATTCGAATTATTGATATAACGCCAAATATGTAGGTTTGTCATATACATTGCATGTATAAATTATTTCACTTCTAAGACAGTTAAAAAACTCAAATGTATTATGTTCAAGTAAAAGTTTGAATAGTTGGATACTTGGATATAACGTAATATAGGTACGCTCGTACAACAACAATTATTATTGTACTGCAATTATATTCTTTTAACATTTTCAAAACTATAATTAATAGCTCCTCACTAAAAGTCTGTATAGGTTTATGTTGAATTAATTTAAGTAATTATATTTTATAGCATCTGATATTGAAAAACTAGAAAAACTATTACACAAATCACGAATTCCAAATCATACTTTATGTAATTTAACTAAGAACCGAAAATGAAAAAAAGATTTATCATATAATTTCATATTTTGGTATAATTTAAATTAATTAAATATATTATCGTGAACCGTTTATAGTTTTAATTTCTTTAACGAGGTCAAATTGATCAAGCACCTAAACCAAATTCAAAGTCGAGCAAGTGTTGTAGGTTTAATATAAGACCTTCATCAAGGTTTTTTAACCACAACATTAAATCCTCGTAAATAAAATTGCACATTTAACGTATTTCAAATAATATAATTTCTTATAGCATATTCATTATAGGTATGATGCACTTTAATTATATAACAATTTATTATCATTGCCAATTGGTGTAATAACAGCAATTCTGAAACATAATAGTTCTTTATTTCAGAATTATACCTAGGTATACTTAATATAATATATAATATATTTGTTATATTCGTATATAAATATAAAGATTGAATATATGTATAATATATTGTTTTTCGCGACACGGTTATTGTATACAGGAACACAACGGAACAACGGAATGGTGAACAGGTGTACATCGCACAAATAGAAAAATGACAGGTGAAATTTTACTTGATGTACTCTTATGGTTTTAATGTATACCGCAGCCACCTGCCGAAAGTTGTAACTTGTAGATATAT